GATTCTTTTATGTTTTTGTTTAGCCTCTTCAGCTTCGTTACGTTTTCGCTTGCTTAATATATCACCATGCAATTGGCTCATAGCAAACACCTTGTCATGCTTAAATTAATAAACTTAACAGAATTAGCAATATAAAATTATAAACAGATTACAATAAACTAAATAATGTTTACATACCGGTATGCAATTTCGGCACTTCGTATGTAAGAAACCCATCGTTGACTATAAACGTTCCACCAAAGCAGAATTGATACAAATGCCAAACAATTGCAAAGCTAGTCGAGATAATTCGGGTGCTAAACCTTTTGCAGAATCCCAAAAATCAATAATATTTCTATTGAATTGGTTATATGTTTCCTTATTGAAAGGAAATACTTCCTTTGATATAACAAGAATTCACGCAAAATACATATTAGTACTTCACCAAACCAAGCATGATAATAGTAATTTAACCATTGACCGAAGTGAGAGTAAGAAAGACCAGGAACATTGGAAGAAAATGTTGAGAGTCGATATTTTGGATGTAAGACAAATGATAGAAGGAGTAAGGGTTGTTCCTATTGGGCCCACCGTTTTTCTAATTGTGCGACCATGTGTTCAAAAAAATCTTCATCTTTACAGTCTGCAAAAGTTTTAATGAGCCATCTGAAACAATGCATAATTTCAAAAAGTCTTGCAGCATTTTTCTGAAGCTTATTTAGTATTCCACATAGTGGAAATAGTAAATTTTGAAGTTCATAGAGCTGAATCCAGAAATTAGAATCTTGTATTATAGATATGATGTCAGGTGAAAGCATTTTGGTTGCATTCGTATTTTCTACAAATCTTTGCCGTGATCGTCCACTTCGAGAAATACTTGCCATCCCAATTCTTGTTGGAGAAAATTTTGTAGCCAACATCTAATAAAAAAATTAATGTAATTTATTAAACTTTACTTATACATTTTATACATTTAAAAATCTACTTACTTTAAGTGCAGATTCAGTTTTTAATACAGAATAAAAGCAAAAATAAAAACTGTTCCAACGCGTTTCGGCTGGAGTTGCAAGAGAGATCATTTGTCCGTAACAAGATACTTGTTCATTTCGTAATAATCCGGTAAAATATGGAGAAGAATGAAAGTAGCTTACAATACGTATTGTATTTTTTGATGTTGTTTTATATGTATCAGATGCCTTAAAAATGTCACCAAAAACCAAGTTTATTTGGTGTGCCATGCAAGGTATAAAAACCTTATTGGGAAATTCAATTCTTAGTTGTCGCCTATAAAAAAAAAAATTTTTTTAAATTTTAAATATATAAATATCTTTAGTATTTATATTTAATACTTGTCTTGTGGCTGCATATTCCCCAGCGGAATCAGACACATAGCAATTGATTTTTATATCCTTTTCTTGCGCGTTATTCATAATTTCTTTAATGAGAAGCTTTGCATCTTCTGTTCTTGACCGCTGATCACTAATATCATGCGAATTCCAAATCAAAGCTTCACCTTGAGAAGTAATCAACACAATACCGAAAAGATGCTTCTGCTTAATGTTCGTCCAGCCGTCAAATGCAGCAGTTACTCCGATTTTATCAGCACGTGCACGTTGTTGAATTTCCTCACCTAACTTTTCAGAATATCTTGAAAGAATTCTATTGCTTACTGCTCATCGATTAGGTAATTTTAAACTTGGTGCGATAAAATGAAAAACCTCTTGTGTTTCATAATTTTTCATGAAAGTAAAAGGAAGACCATTTGATACGATCATACATAATATCAGGTTTTCGAAATGTGGTCTATCTTTTTCAGATAGTGGACGTGAAACATAACTTTGAAAATGTGTTTGTTTTTTTGGTGCACTGGTTTTTGAAATTGGGATAGGAATTTCATCTTCGGATGAAGAATCTAATAATTTATCAAGTAATTAATATATAGACAATATAAATTAGTACTAAATATATTATATAATTATAACAGTATAGTTAGTTACCTTTGCAGCTCTCTTTTTTATTATTTTTTTTTTTAGTGTCTTCAGGTACTGGCCGAGCAAGGATTTCCAAAACTTCATCTTCTTTATACTCAGCTTTAAAATTATGACAGTCTTTAAGATGGCTTCGGCATAGTTTCGCTTTGTTAGAGACAAAGCAGTCCAGATTTGCAAGAGCAACAGGTAAAGTGTATTTCCACATGCATGACAAACAAACTGCCTTTTTATTGGCTTTGGGATTATCAGGCATAGCTAAATGAAAAAATTCTCGAAAGTTGTATTCTTTTCTACCCATCATTATTGCAAAAAAAAAAGAAAAAAAAAGTTTTAGATCAAAGAAAAAAATGTATTATACATATAAGATGTTCAACATGTCTAATTTCCAAATATGCTAAATTAACATACCGATACGATGCATCTTTTAATTTTATACAAAATATCTCCTGGTAGATTCTGCCCATCTTGAGAAGTTACTTTATAATTGTTTAAATATTCGCTGTTTACAAAAAAATCCGAAGTCCATTTTATTTATTTATTTATTTTTTTTATTTTTTTTTATTTTTTTTATTTATTTATTTTATTTATTTATTTTTTTATTTTTTTATTTTTTTTATTTCTTTATTTTATTTTTTTTCTTGATTACTGTTGAAGTAAACCATCAATTAAGGTAACTTTCTTACAATATAAATTTATTTTACTGCCACTTTTTTCTAACCGCTAACACAGGTCGAAAGATAAAAAATCAGGCACAAATCAGGTACCTGATTTGTGCCTGATTTTTTATCTTTCGACCTGTGTAATAAAAGTACCGTATATATTTATTTTGAGGATAAAGCCGATTAGACACTAATGCTAGTCACAATTCTCTCTTTTATACTATTTTTACAATTGATGACATATTTTTTATGCAATACTGCAATATTAAAAGTCTATTTTTTTTTCAAGTTTTGGCCGGTTAAAACATATGAAAATAAAACCAGTTCCAATTTAATTAAGCTTTGCATGCATAAACTCACCTGATCTAACCGATATGTATAAATACCCAGCCAATTTTGTCGTATCACCCGATCGTAATATGCATAATGACTCAATGACCCAAATGACTTAGGTCATTTATAAATGACCCAGGTCATTTGGTCACGAGTCATTTTTAAATGACTTGAAAATCAAATGACTCAAATAACTGGTCATTTTAAGGTTATTCTAGGTCATTAGTCATTTGAGCAAATGACCCGGTTATTTACTATCCCTGCCTCCTCAAGTGGTTCATAAAATTTATTAACCATACTTTGATCGTCAAGTATCTTTCTTTCTTTAAATTGACTTTGAAAATATGCAGCTATTTTAGACAAAACATCACTCAACTCATTGTACAATGACCATATATTGTTATCTTTTTCTAGAATACAGTCGAGTTTAATCTTTCTAAAGGGCTTGTCAAGAATACTTGCTAGCATTACCCCAACTTCATCATCAATTCTTTCATATCTTTGAGCTACTGCTATATCAATTCTTTTACAAGTAGCCTTCTCTTTTGCTACTTTCTCTTGTATCTGCATTGCTTTCCAGCACTCTTTTGCACGAGTAGCCCACTTTAGCAGTGCATCACCTTCATTGACAATGTTTTCTAAATCTGGTATATCTGCCTAGTGCTCAATATTAATTTCTTAATCTCTTCACTAGCTGAGGCTAAATCTAACACAACCTCATTACACACTGTTGCTTTTCTCGCTCACTAAATGATTTTGCTTAATTTGACTATATTCTTGTACAACAATATAACTTTCTTTATAGTTCTTCTTATATATGGGACCCCACAGCAAAACAAGGCAGTGGGCGGACCAATCAGATTTTGAGATTTTATGCTGATCATTTACTTAAGAGTCTTGTCTTTATAAGGATAATTTTTTTTGCTGAATATATTAGTAAAATGTATACGAATTTAAATTTTTTTTCTTTGTTACTGTTATGGTAAAAAATTGATTTACATACTGGTACCATATATGATTTACAATATTTGCAGCTGTATATATTTTTTTTAAGCATAAATTGTGTCTCTTAAATGCTATGATAACTAACTATTTATATACATAAATACCTGAACTTGTAAAATGTATAAGCAAGAGATAATTTGGACAATGTAGCATTTGATAAAGTACGTACGTATACGTATATACGTACAATACATACGTACATATGTACGTACAATACATACATACGTATGTAATAATACAGGTGCAAAGAATGTAAAAATCAAAGAACTATCGTTTTTTTTTATCTTAAAAGTATGGAATATAATATACATTCCAATGATAATAGTATAAACGAAGTCATTTTATCTGCATTGAAAGATTTAGATGATACTTTTTTTGCCGATTATTCAGATTCTGAAGGTGAAGAATCTAACTCTGTATTAGACGATGAATCAATATCCGATGATGATTTTCCTGACATTCCTTCAAATAAATTAAATGAATTCAATTTTGTAGATGTTCCAGACAATTATATTGAAGATAAAATTTACAATGATTTAAAATTAAAAATTAAAAAATTTTTTGATAAAGATCAGTACTCATGTTGTTCTAAATAATCCTGTTTTGAGAAAATTAGTTATGAAAAATTTCTTGCGCGTTGAGCTGAATTTGAAAGTTTAGAGAAAAATATGCGTGATATGGTTATTAAAGGGCAACTTCTAGCTTTTCAAAGAAATGAAATATGGATAAGGTTACGAACAATGATAGAAAAAATTTACGTTTTAGCTATTGTTATAATCATGATATTCCAGTGTGTCTTGATACATATTTAAATCTTGTTGGAGTTGGTCATACATATTTAAATAATATTAAACAGCATTTGCAAGAGCACGGCCTTGAAGAATGTATACATGGCAATACCGGAAGAGCTCCAAAAAATATGAACTGTATTGAGGTTAATTATGATTTGGCATGTGACATATTTAAGTTTTTAAAAAACTATTCTAACATACATGGTTTGCCCTCACCTAGACGTCATTGTAACAAAGCTACTATGCCAACTGTATTTCTTCCGACAAGTTTTAGTTATGCATCGGTATATCGTGACTATGTACAGGCTTGTAAAGATAAGTATGGTAAGGATGTTCGTATTTTGGCTGAATCAACTTTTACTAATATTTGGAAATTATTAATGCCGTCACTTCAATTTATGTCCTTGAAAACTGATTTATGTGAAACGTGAAAATGGATATTAGATATGCTACACAACATGAAAAAAAATTAGAGCTTACTAATAGTTACTTAGCTCACTTAAATAGAGTACAAAAAGAACGTGGCTACTATAATGCTAATATTATAAATGCAGTTGAAGGTGGCAAACACAATCCAAATGTAATCGGCTCTCAAATATCATTTAAAAGCTTTAGTGGTAGTGCTCATATTGTATACGATTGGGCTCAAAACATGCAAATACCTCATTCACCGCAACAAATAGGTGCTTTGTATTTTAAAAGTTTACGGAAAGTACATTTATTTGGTGTTTGTAATACTGGTAATTTTCCACATACACAACAAATGAATTATGTTATTAATAAAGCTGAAATGCCCGATGATGGTAAGTAGGTAAAGGCGTGAATTGCACTCTAAGCTTGGTCTGCATGCAATTTTTAAATATAATCATGGGGGAAAAAAGTTAGCTGTTACATGCGATAATTGTATAGGTTAGAATAAGAATAACTTTTCATTATTTTTTTGTTCATGGTTAGTCGACCGCAATGTGTATAATAAAGTTGAGTTAAATTTTATGATTCCAGGACACACAAAATTTATATGTGATGGTTGTTTTGGTCTAATCAAAATTCTCTACTGAAAAAGCAAGGTCAATACTGTTGAAGATGTAGTCTCAATTGTTAATCGCTCTACAATGATTAATTTTAATGTTGCTCAACGTTATCTTAATAGAGAAGGCTTTCAATATTATGATTTTAAAAATTACTTTCAAGCATTCAAAAATTACCTCATATTCAAAAGTATTATCATTTTTATTTTACTTCGCAACACCCTGGAATCGTCTTTTTTAAAGATGATCTTCAAGATAATTATGAAAGTTTTACAGTTCGTCCCTTTTCTTTTAATGCCGATACCCCACTCCCTACGATTGATGTCAAACCACTTTCTCAAAAGAGACAAGAAGAATTATATAAAGAAATCACACCCTATATTGATTTACCTTTCCACAACATTACTTGTCCTGAACCAAAAATTCAGAATAAAAAATAAGTTAAATTTTTTTCATAGCGATAGTTTTATTAGTTGTAGCGTTAGATTTGTGCTGAACTCAACGTAAATAACAGAGTTCAATTTATCCTAATTTAGCGTAAAACAAGTTTGATTTTTTGCGCTTTTAAAAATCAAATAAAGTTAAAAAGTAGAATCCGGAATAAACTTGATTGTCAAACTAAAAATTTCAAGAAAAAATCA